TGGAACTTTAGCGTGCATGTGAATGTCCTAGGAGTTGGGTTAAAATTCAGATTCTGATTCGGCAGGACTGGGGCGGGGCCTGGGGTTCTGCATCTTGACAAGCTGGGCTGCAGACACACTGTGAGCAGCAAGGCTGTAGGTACGAATGACTTTCTGTTGATTACTTAATTACTGCAGTGAGCTAGGGCATTCAGTGATCCTGCAGGTCCAGGGCAGTACTTGTATTTGGCCAAAGTGGCACAGTGGACTTTGTGATTAAAAACAAAACAACTGTTTATGTTTCTCCCCAGGTCAGCCATGGAGTGGTGCTGACAAGAGCTGTGACTGCCAGGTGCTGAGAGAGGAGCGGTTATAAACTTCTGCCCTTCCTATCATGAGTAGAGAGAGAGTTGATTTATCAGCCTTCTGGACTCAGTTCTAACAGTTGTTATTTGGGGGGAATATGTTTTATTATGTAAATGAATCCAAGATCTCAGGTTGTGCTGTCCCAGATATGAAAACTATATTGCAAGAAGGTTGGGATTATCTGCTTATATTTTCCTATGCTTAAAAATATGGAGCCCTACTATGTGCCCTGCCTGTCACTGGGTGGCTATGGAAAGTTTGAAGCTGCTGGATAACCTGTTCTTGCACTGACGGCCTAACTACTAGGTTTAACTTAGATTAACATGAAGTTTCGTATCACAGTTATCACATGAACCTACACAGGTGACACATTTCTATAAATCTTAATACACACACACACACACACACACGAGTACAAGTAAAATTGGAAAAATCTGAATAAGATGAGTAGCTTTTATCAATGTTAATATTTTGGTTGTGATATTATATTATACTTTTGCAAAACGTTACCATCAGGGGATCCTGGGCAAAGTATACAGTGATCTCTGCCTTATTTCTTACAACTGCATGTGCACATACAATTATCTCGAAAAATTTTCAATTAAAAAAACACTTGTAGCCAGCCCTCAATATGTCTTTACTATAGGGAGAAAGAACATATATATTAAGAAGGTAGGTAATAAAATAAACAGGAAAATACTTATTCAATGTTAACAGCATAATAGGTAGTATGCTGAGTATTTTACATGAAAAACTTTAATCCTCACAACACCCTATGAGGTGAGTGGTGATATTGTTGTTGTTACTTCTGTTTTAGATGAGGACACTGGAGCTGGGAGAGCTTAAGTAGTTTTCTCCAGAATCAAAGACTCAGAGAGCAGAGGGGCAGGAACCCAACTCAGGTCTGGAGCCCATGATACTATACAAAGCTTGGGGACAAGAATGCTATATTCCTCTGGAGGGACAAATCACAGATAGGGATGAGGAAAGTGCTTCATGGAAGATGCAACTTGAAGGACCCCGCAGGACCTTGGCCTTGGGACTAGATGAGCTGAGGTAGCAATAAGCCAAGCGAAGGCACTCCAGACAAAAAGATGGAAAACGCTTCATTTTCCAGATGAAGAGACAGGTGGGTGTATGCCTGCTTTGCCATTGAGAGATAGATGGAAGCAATATGTGGAAGGTCTTGAACGCTAAGGGGACATAGTAAGATCTTCCTGGATCTAGCTAGCAATTTGGGAGATCGAGCAAGGCACCGATGAAGCTGTGTGTGACTCACCAGCATCTTTCACAAGGGAACCCAAGTGCAAGGTGTGTATGGTTCAGCACAAACTAGCACATTCCCAGGGCCAAAAGACAAATGGGAGGCAATGTCCTCGTGGCAAGTTGGTACGTGAAGGGACCCAGGGTACTTGTGACCATGAGGGCCATAACGTGGTTGAGACCAGTCATCACAGGATCACACCTGAATACACTTGGAATTTAATCTCGTGCTGTATGGTTACTTACTCATTCAACCACGGAGTGCCTCTTACGTGGCCAGCACTATGGCAAGCACTTGGGCTACATCAGTGAACGAAACACAGTGACCAAACTCCCTGCCCCTGTGGAGCTCACCGTCTATGCTTAGCGCTTATTTCTGATCAGGAAGATTCTTAACTATCAGAACCTAAGAACACATTTCCATACTGTACACTTGAAATCTCATGACCCCAGAGAGAAATGCAAATCTCCCTGGGGTAAATCTGGGCAGCCAAGCAGAAGGACAAACACAGCACTTCTGACTCAAGAGTGAGGGTGATCTTATGCCAGTGTGGCCACAGGGAAACTTAAGATGGGTAGACTGTCAGGCCTTGCCTCTGAGTTGGATTGGGAAAGTGAGATGCAAACCAAGGTGAAGGATTGGCAGTGCAGCCTTGAAGATGATTCAAGTTAGCCTGGGGTACCCTCTCCGTTTTCCACTCCCAAACTGGGATTAACTTTGGAGTCTTCCATAAATGTAGAGAAATTGGGGGCTTTCCAGTACTAGCCTGGGGAAGTATTATTTCAAGACAAATCAGAACAAGATGGCCTTGCACTGTAAAAGCAGGACAGGAAGGCAGGAAGTAAGTACACCTGGAGACATGTTTAGGCAGGAGATATTCTACAGCATAGCCTTGTGCTTAGAACACAGGGTTAGAGATATGGAATTTTTCCCAGAATGCTAAAAGCAATATACAGATGAAGAGATAAGCTGCTGGTCACTGTCCCTACAAAAGACACCTAAAGGTAAGTGAATAAGGCAAGAGTCAAAAGGGGGCAAGTTTACTAGTATTCCCCCCAACCAAGGATTTTTAATCATTGCAAAATTTTAAGTTCCCACAAGCCTCAAATGGCTAAGAATAAATATTTTAAATGGCTTTTGACTTAGTTATGGAAAGATTCACCAATCCTTATTATTTTTTTGAACAGTATTATAAAAAGTTTGATTTAGTTTCTAATGACCTCCCCCCCACCCCCAATGCTTTTGTGTCACGTTTACAATGATGTTAAGCCATTTGCTGTAAATTTGGCTATATTGCATATGTGTGTAAGAAACACAGACATCTCCTGCAGTTGGACAGGAACGTTTTTGTGTGGGTAAAAGACTCTGCACTCACTAAGCCACTCTCCCTGTGACAAAATTCTCTTGCTTTTCTCAAGGCAAAATAAACGCCACCGATACAGAGATCCATTTCCTAACTTCAGGTTGCACAGAACTGCGCTTGAATATACAACTTCCATTCACATTTCTAGTTGTTGCCTGAGAGGCCAGCTCTGCCAGTGACCACAGCAAAGTGAAAAATGGCCCTACTACCTGCAGAATGCAAGCTTTCTAAACAGTCCTGTTTCTGATTCCGAGAGAATCATCATGCCACAAAACACAGGTTAGACCTTGAGCTGATAGCTGGTGAGGTGGTTGTGCACTCATAAATGTGTGAGTGTGTACAAACATGTGAGCAAGAGTCCCATAAAAAGTTTGATAGGGACAAGGGTGTGCACGAGACAGAATACCTTGTTCCCAGACAAGACAGATGGCTCATTGTCTTTGGTTGCACTGTCATTGAACAGGTGAGCCTGTGGTAATCAGGCTCTTGATCTCAGAATTTAGTTTAGGGTGCAAGCTGGGGATGACAAGGGGGGCTCCTTCCTTTACCTCCTCTCAAATTTTGGCAGTTGAGGGAGCTTAGAAATTGCCTCCCACAGTAATGGGTCTCAAACTAGCATTGTCAATAGCCCCCTCCCCTCCACTTATGCTCCTTTTTGGCCACTTTACACCACTCCAACCTTTAATAATTAAAGTAATTTGCCTAATGAAATGCTCAGCATGGATAAACAACTGTAAAAAGTCCCTTCGCTGAACCAGGAAGAGCATTTATGAAAACAAAAGGAAATGCCATATTTATGAATATAAGAAAATTCACAGTGTAAATGAATTTTGTATTGATATTTGGCCAAAGCTCTTCTGTAAGTCTATCTCAGTCATGAATCTGTGGTTATTGGTGTGTGAGCAGCAAAGTGATGTGTGTTAAACAACCAAATAGGATTAATCTGGCTCTCCTGCAAAAGTGAAGTCTAAATATTTGGGGCTTTTATACAGCTAATTTTGCTAGTGGAACAGAACAATTTGCTCGGTAAAAGGCTACCTCAGATTTGGGGATTTTTAGATTGACTATTTTATAACTGGGTCTTTAGAAATCAATGTAGTAAGTGTTTAACTTTTCCATAGAGACCATTCAGTGAGTTTGAATGTATTTGGGAAAAGTTTGTTTTCTTTGGAGTATGTCTAGTCTTCTGTAAAAATAACACTAGGCTCCTACTACAAAGTTCAGGGAAGAGAGAACACAATATATAGTAAAAATAATTGATAAATAACTCTTCTTAGGTATTTTTTTAACAAAAATGAAATCTTGGTCATAGTACAGCATCAGTTCAAAGCCCACTTGGAACCCTTTAAAATTAAAAATATAATAAATTCATATATCAAGCACATCATCCGTGCATTATTCCCAAATCAGTAACAGGGTAAAACAAATTTACTTCCTGGCAGTATATTCTTAGCCTATTTTATACTTTGTGGTCTAAGAAAAACAAAATAAAACACACACCTGATCAAAACATCCCACCAGCACAGCAGAATCAAGTTTGTCTACTTTCTCCAGTATACCCAAGTGTATTCTACAAAGCTTTCAGACAACACCGAAATTTTTCATTTCTACTATGAATTCTGACTAAAGCCAGCACTTAACCATTTTCAAAGTGCCCTGAAAAAATGACTAAAAAGAATGTTTTGTGTTTGTTTTCCTTTTTAAAATCTATACCCAAAACATTTGCTTGAAAAACTTTCTGAATAGTGGCATTGCCGGGTACACATGCAGTAGACAAAATATCAGATTTCTTTTTCCAGCTGTCCAGAATCCCATTAGAGCCTCTTACTTCTGTCTTTTGCTATAATTAGGATGGCTTAGGGTTTATCTGGGCCTTTTTTCAAACCCAGATTTCCTTCCTAGCAGCAGTAGCTGTCATTCACAAGTACCCGGACAGCGCTGTGATACAGCAATCAAGATGAGAATTGAAGGGACACACACACACACAAATCCTTTGCATCTTGTAACTTTTTAAAAGTGGAGTCTTACCTGCGGCTGATCACTCTGGTCTGGAACCCAGCTTGTTTCAAAGAGGTTATTAACCTGTACCCCTTCTCCCTCCAAGTTCAAGTTCCCTTCTTTGGGGAGTATGCCTGGTGGAGTTGGCAGGGTTTTTGCTTCTTGCTCTGCTTGGGTTGGAATAGCACCTTCTCCTGCATGGAAGTGGGAATTCCGATCAGTAGCTTCTTCCTCTTTGGCAAGAGAACGCTCTTTTTTCTCACTCTGGGCTGGTGGGTGCTTAACAGGTTCATTGGGATAGAGGAGATGAAGGGTGCCTGCTGCTGCACTGTCTTTCAGGTTGGGGCTCAGCTTCTTGGGTTTTCCCTTAATTCCTGGTCTCCTCACCCTGGCAGGTTTCTCTGAGCCCCTCCTGCTCGAGAAATCCTTCTCCCGTCTTTGCTCAGCCGTGGTCTCCAAACACTGGTTCATCCCTGACTTTTCTAACTCACCAGATAAGCGATTCACTTCTCCCTCTGTCAGTGCTTTATCCATGTCAAACAGATTGTCACTGGCGAATTCCTCTCCTGCTTGGTAGCTGTCTCTGGTTTCCCCTTGAATTCCTGGATAATCATTTTCAGCAGAGGCAATGGGTAGCTTATCTCTCCCCTGGTCTGTCACCGTAGACGTTCCATCATGATTGGGTCCCAAAGTCAGAGTCATCCCTGTTTGTGGGGATGAGGGACTGTGGGTAGAGGCTTGGTGGCATCTTACCCTCATGTCTTGGGGTTGTGAGTGATAACCACAGAAGCCAGCAGTGGCCTCCATCGGCCCAGTGTTATCTGACACCTGAGGCCCAGGACCCATTTCACTGAGGAAAAACCCACACTCCCCCAGGCAACACTCACTGAATTCCATCACTTCGTCATCGCTTTCTAATAAAAAAACATGCTCAGGCCCCTGCAGGTCCCATTGCCAAACTGCATTAGAGTAATCCGTCATAACATCGGAACATTCCAGATACTCCAGGTCATCATCTGAAAACTCCTCGGTGCAGGTTAGGGTTATCTCTGGGCAAAGTTCATAGTCACTGTCAGAATCTCTGCTGGAAACCTGGGGGCTGTCTTGCTTGTTGATTGTGGCCTCATCACCTGGATAAATGGATGTGGCTGCCTCCAACAGCGGCAGGCTGACGCTAATGTATTTCTGTACGTTGGGATTTTGATGACTAGAGTTTAAGTCTTCATGATTGTTTAAGGCACTATCCATTAACTTTGCTCCTTTGGGCTGCATTGTCCCATGCCAACATACATCTTGTTTATCGGGACTATTAGGAAAAAGCAACCCATCTGTAATTCCCTCTGTGTCGTTCGGATCACAAGCCTCTTCAGTTTGCCTTGTTCCTTTAACATCCCAGAGATTTTCAGAAGTGGATGCACTAATGTCATTACTGGTGAGTAACTGGAGTGAGCGTAAATGGTTAAATTCGGAGGAGGGGGAATCAGCTGATATGGGAGTACCCAAGGAGGGCCTTTCATCTTCCTTATAAGGAGGTTCTTTCTCATCAACTTGATCTGTGCTTTTCTGCTCAGATGTCTCTGTCCCATGTGGCCAACCTGTGTCCCTGTCATCTTTCAGGTTAGGAGACAATTGTGGGTTCTCTGACGAGTGCTCGACTTCAATGGAAGCAGAACAGCAGATCATTCCAGAACCGTTTTTAGCAGAGATCTGGTAAACAGCAGCGTCATTTTGGGAACACCTAGGAGGAAGAGAACATACAGGTAAGTTTGCTATGTGTGGACATGCGTGCCAACATCTCTCACGTCATGGCACATGCAGAAAACGGCCATGGTTTTTGCTGCACGCCCAAGGAAACCCGTGGTCTTCCTGGAAAGGGGTTTGTGGTCAGAGGCAACTGGCTTCTGGTCTCCATTGCCCCCAGCTCTGCTGAGAACCCGGGAAAGCTCCACATTTCCCCTTAAGACTTTCCACAGTCCTACCCCAAATTAAAAATGTTGAGAATTACTTGGATGAATTGGGAAATGTTTTATAGTCTGATCTCTTCTTCTCTCCTTTTATTTTAAGTCATCGGTATGCTGTAGGAATTTGAAAAAGCATTATTTTCTAGAGTGAGATATTTTATACAAATAACTGAAGTATTCTACCCCATGTCGTGGAACAACATAAGCAGTAGCTCTTTTTAAGATCATGCTAAGAAGGCATGAGGGGCTGTAAAGATAATGCCATATTAGGATTATGTGTATGAAGAACAGTGCCATTTCCTCTATAAGTTAGCATGGCTATTCCATCTAAACCACAGCCAGTGAGCCCTCTGGCTTACATAAAGCAAGCCATGCGTTCAGCTTTGGCCCAGTACGAAAGGACCTGACTCCTGAACCATGCCGAGCCTGCTGTCCCTGCTCCAGAAGTGACAGTGCTCTGGTGGCCCTTCCCTTTATTGACTGCAGTCACCTGGAGCCTGGAGCCTGGGGCCCGAGGTGTTTTGCTGACCTTTCCCACTAAGACCCCTCTCTAGGCTCTGCAGTCCCAATAAAAACTTGTTGCACTTGCTTTATAATTGGCATTCTTATTGATCTCATTTGACCTCGTGATAATTGTAACATTACTGATCTCAATCTGCCTTGTATGTTTTATCCAGCTCAGAAGTTAACCATTTTCAGACGGCAGGGGTTGTGGGTCTGGCTCAGACTTAGAGGCAATGCTTAGATCTTTCTTGACTGATCTGTGTAAAATGTGCGCAAACATTAATCCTGAAGGGTCACAGCTATAGCACAGTCTTCTGTATCCTTTGTTCCTCATTGGCGGGACCCCTATGTCCCCTCGAGCTCATATGTGCTCATCAGCCCTCAATCGTTGGGGGCCAGCTTATATAGGCCTCATTTTCAGAAATCACAGACTAATCCTATTTCTGTTAATACATTGTTTTGTTGGTAACCTGGTTCCCAAATATATGCCACTCATATATTTGTCTGGGGTTGGTCACTCCTGATCCACACCTGATATCTGGTTTTGCACGGGGAGACTGAAATTTAGGGCAACTTTCTGGGGAAACAGTACCCATTCCTATCTATTTTACAAGGTTATTCTCAGGTTCAAATGAGAAAATCAATGTGAAGGGGTTTGCATAGCCGAAACTTTATGCCACATGTCTTTTATAAGAATGTGGATAGAGGTGTTAGCTAATGGCAATCATACTGTAATATAAGTGCACGCATATCAAATCAATATGTTGTGTACTTTAAACTTACACAATGTTGTATGTCAAGTATAACTCAATGAAACAGGAGAAGATGTGGAAGTGCTAAGACCCGGTTACCTCTGATTCTCAAGGAGCAAAAATTCTTGAGTCAGAATCTATGAGTAAAGGGCCTGAGAACCTGCTTTTAAAGATCCCAACACTTTCTGCTACAAACGGTCCTTGGCCCACCCTTGGAGATATCCTCATCCTCCTGGTCACTAATTAGGCTTAGGTCTCCTCAGTTAAAGCTGATGGAGAGAAGGTGGTTTTTGCTTGAGTTTCACGTTGCCCATTCCCTCCATGTCTCTTTTCAATCAGTTCTTGGAGATTTGGCCTCAGTTATGAGCTAACAGGGAGCATAAAACAGTACCACGGGCTTCTGGAAAATCCCAAGTAATTCTGGTTTCCTGATGTATCCAGGCTGTGACCCCTCTGCCAGAGAAAGCCCCGTTCCTGAAGGCACCATGACTTGTGTGGAAAAGAGACAAGACGAGAAGGAAATAAGGGCAAGAGGCACAACGGACCAGGTAAGAAATCAGTAAAGGAGGGGACCATAGAGGGTTCTCAAGCATCAAGAAGGGAAAACAAAATGAATTTTAGAAAACTGCAGAGGAAAATAATTGGGTTACATAAACCTATTTCACTTCCGAATGACTGTAAACAGATGGGAGAATGTTATGATTTAGGAATGTAGGATTTTGTGGAACATGTGTTTTAGCTGATATAAGATTTACAAGTCAGCCTAAGTACATAATTAAGTATAATTAACTTCTCGCTGGCTAATGAACGCCTTTGAGAGGGTTATGGTTTGTAGTTGACGCGTCCTGGATAATTATCTCTAAGCATCCTAAAGACGAGAGGGAGAAAGTCATGCAAGGAACCAAGCATGTGCTGAAGGCCCCCTCTGTTACACAATGTGCTGGCTGCTCCCTGTGTGCAAACTGGAGGCTCAAAGGAGTTGAGTAATTTCCCCAAAATGACAAAGCTAGGAAGTGGTGGAGCTGGTGTAGAAAACCAGAGCCTCCTGACTCTGAAACCTGGCCCTGTGTATCCTGTTAGAAAAGTAACATTCAGAGAAGGGAAATGGCTGAGTGCAGAGTGATCATTTTTGCAGGTGAGGTGTTTCTGTCCTACGTCTTCATACGTGACACACTCGTGTCAAGTATCTTCTAAGGTGCCCATGTTATGTTAAGAGCTGAGGAATTGTCAAGGAGATGCATGAGACATCATGTCCAGCCCTAAAATACTAAACATCCGCTGGGAGAGATCACATGAATTTCTCAGAGAATCTTATAGGCCAATCCTGTGCTACATTGTACCATACAAACCGGAAGAGCAAGGGAGTTTCAAAGAAGGGACTACAGGGGTAGCGCTGAAATGGTGTAAGATTGGAGTTTAGAATCTTTGCAAGATGCTGGCAGAGTGACCTGTGTGCCCCACAGTGATTTGACAGGTATGCAAGGCCATCCAGGGAGAAATTCCCTGAACAATTGAGTTTCCTCCTTACATATCTTTCCTTTTGGTTGAAGGAAGCAACAGCCTTCCTCCACCTTGCTGTGAAAGTCTTGCTTGAATACTCCAGGTTCTTTCCAAATTAATCATTTTCATATTAAAGGAATAGAGCTACATGCAACCTTAAGTGAATAGGGCTTCTCCTGAGCTGAACTCCCTAGACTGGTCTAAATCAGAGGTTCTCAAACATTTTGGCAGCAGAACCCCTTTACACTCTCAAAAATACTTGAGGACCCCAAAGAACATTTGTTTATAGAGGTTATATCTATCAATATTTACCATATTAAAA